AAGACGTTTGCGGTGTGAGAAAAAAGAGAGTCAGTTGCCCGCGCGCCATGGAGGCATAAGCCGTGAGCTGTGATTCTGCTAATTCTGCCAAAGCAGATTTGCAGGTTTAGGGTTTGGGGTGTAGGGTTTAGGGTTTAGGGCTTAGGATCTAGGGTTTGGGGTGTAGGGTTTAGGATTTAGGGTTTAGGGGTTTAGGGTTTAGGGGATTCGGGTTTAGGATTTAGGGTTTAGGGTTTAGGATTTGGGTTTCCACATAGCTACTGATCGGCCAAGTAGAATAGTCTGTCGCACAGCTATCAAATACTTGGACCGGGAGAGTACGTATCAAGGGCAGAACGATAGTAACCCACTACTCAGGCAAGTGTTCTTCAGGGCGAAAACAAAAATCACTAGCATAAGATTTGGGGACACATTAGATGGTTCTCACTGCTCTCGTCTTTATGTTCGACTCCACAACCAAGACACTGATCCCCAAGATCCTTCAGACGCTTGTAGAGCCCTGGCAAGTAGGACCCTCGTAGTCTACAGAAGGGTTGAGGGGTTTAGGGTTTAGGGGTTTAGCGCAAAGCCCTTAACTACAGCTAGCAGAAAGCCCTTAAGGGTTTAGGGCGCATAGGGTTAAAAGGAACCCCTGACGGAGACCTTACAGTTAAAGCAACCCCACAAGAGATCCCTACAGAACCTTTCAAGACACCGATATAAAGCCGAAGGTGATCTAAAATGCTTAAAGCGGCCGTAGACCCTTTACCCCCTTTTTGCAGATCCCTTACAGGAGCCCTTATAGATTCCTTTGGCTTACACGCCAATAGAACCATGATATAAACCACTATCTCGAGTCACGGCTTTCACGCCTTGGAGTTTCGTTTCTGAAAACAAAAAATAACGCCTAAGAGCACTCGGGGTCCCTAAACCCTAAACCCTAAACCCTAAACCCTAAACCCCAAAAAAACTAACCTTCGCTGAGCCCGAAGCTTGAGTTCCCCGATTGCGGAACCGCAGCAACCGCCGCGCTGATTTCCTGGCATCGCCCGCTTGGCTTAACAAGGGTTTAGGGTTTAGGGTTTAGGGATTTAGGAATTCTTTAGTTTTGGTGTTTATAAAGTTTAGGGGCCTATATGGTTTTAGGACATATTCTGGGGGGGTTGATTTAGGGGCTTACTAAGGGGTCGTCAGCGTAACCGAGCAAGGACCAACAATGGGCAAACCCTAGAATCCTGAACCTTCAAGATTTTGCCTGGAAGGATGCCTGATCAGAAGTCGTTAAGCCACCTTTGACCCTAAACCATCAACCCGAAACCCTACGCCCTGAAACCGTAAAACCCGTAAACAAAGGAACCGAAAAAGCCTTAAGCTCTAAGGTGTTCCCTCAAAGGATCCCTTTTAGACTCCTTTAGAGGATTCCTTTAAGAGAACTAAAGGGTTCTAGAGTAGAGTCCCCTTTATGGGGAACTTTCGGGTTCTATAAGACAGTCCCCTTTAGAGGGAACCATAGGGTTTCATACTATGGTCGCGTTTAAAGGATACTTTGGGGTTCTATAATAGGGTCCCCTTCAGGGGAACCCTAAACCCTAAACTAACCCCCTTAAAGGGAACTAAGGATACTATATGCTTCTATAATTTAGGTCCTCTTTAACGCTGCAAGCTCTCAACCCTAAAACCCTAAAACCCTCAACTAGGCCCTGAACCCTAAGCCCTAAAACCAGGAAACCCTAAACCCTAAACCCTAAAGCCCTAAACCCTAAAACCCTAAACCCTAAACCCTAAAGCCCTAAAGCCCTATAAACCCTGAACCCTAAACCCTGAATCCTAAACCCCTAAACCTTAAAGCCCTAAACCCTAAACCTAGGTCGGCCTTGCCGTTCGCCTGGATGGGCTTCGGCATCTCCGCGACCGCGGCAGCCTCCGAGGCGCCTTTGGTGGGCCAAAGACAGGTTGGTAGGATATCTTTCAAGGTGTTTTTTAGGGTTTAGGGTTATGAGTGGCAGGTCTTGTAACCTC